GGAACGCGACGATTGGGTGCGCCATCCCTTCAGAGTGAAGCAGGGCAACCTCGACGACAAGATATGGCATGGCGCCTTCGGCAGGGCGAGGCACGGAGCGCACTTCCCTCTGGTGGCTTTCACGCACAATACGTGCCGCAGGTCACCTGAAAGACTCGCCGCGAGGTTGGAACGCAGGAAGGGCGGCAGGAAGGGCGGCAAGAAGGGCGGCAAGAAGGGCAGCTACGCGGACACCGCAGTTGCGGGGAAGGGCGTCCGACCCCAGATGGGAACCGCAGTTGCGGGGAGAGACGCTGGGGCTGAGCGAGCTGGGAACACGCCACCGCCGCAAGCTGCCAACGGCGACGATGCGACCCCTTCTTGTGCCGCAGTGGCGGCTGGGTCCTGGGACGCCAGCGGCAGCGGCGCATGGGAGGCGCGCAGTCCCGCCACGAGATGGCAGGGCTGGTCCTGGTGGGACTGGAGCTCGAGCGAATGGGGCGCTGATGGCGCGCAGTGGTGGCCCTCTGATCATGCCGCAGTTGCGGACAATGCCCCTGAGGGCTCGCCTCCTCAGCGTGAAGTCGAGTGGGGCTCGAGCGGGCGACCTGCCGAGCGCCCTCCGTGGAGCTTCGAGGGGCAGCGTTGGTGATGGCCGCAGTTGCGGGCAAGTGGAACATGATGTTGATTGCCGCAGTTGCGGACAGTGTACGCTGGAAAAATCATCATCATCATCAATCATAATCATCATCATATCATCATATCATACGTTCAAAGCAGTGCCGGGGCACTGCTTTGAACGCGTTCAAAGCAGTGCCGGGGCACTGCTTTCGATCGTCGCCTCGTCGCAGTTATAAGGGCTATTGGATTAGGGATGGAGAGAGGAAGAGTGGGGCATCTCGGAGCCTTTGCCTGCCGTGCTGAAAGATGTTCGGGCCACTGTTTGGCCGCTCTGGGGACCTCGTAAGCACTCCCGACGCCATCCTGTGCATAATGGTTTTCAAGGAGGGTCTTGGTCGCACAGAGGGGCCTCTTGGGGTTCTTCAGGCCTCTTGGGTCGTCTTGGAGATCTTTCGGGCTGTTCTGACAGTGACCTGCTCCCTATTTCTTCCTGGTCCGTCCTGCCATCTCCTGCTCCTGCTCCTCCGATTCGCCCTCCCGCTCCTCCTTCCCCTCCCTCCCCCTCCCTCCCTCTTCTCTTGGGGCCTCCAGCCAGCTATTGCCCTCCTCCTCTTCCTCCTCCTTCTTTCTTTTCCTCTCCCCTCCCAGCTGTCCCTCTCCTCCTGCTCCCATTCGCCTCTGTCCTTGTCCCCGTCCCCCTTCTCGCTCCTCCTCCTCCTCCTCCTCCTCCTCCTCCTCTTTTCCTCCTCTTCCCCCCCCGTTCCTTCTTTCCCTCTTCATCCCATCGATCCCTCTTCACTGCAAGGAACTTCTCCTTGTCGCACCACTAGGTGTTTCACCCGAGACGTCCTTGCGATGTATGATCAGGAAGCTTGATCGTGCCAACAGGGAACGCTGGTGGAGCACAAGTGGCTTTCAAGTTGTGGATTTCGTGTCAGCTACTCGCTCATGCATTTCGTAGCCGGCTGCCCGCGGCAACAGCCGCCACCGTACTTGTGCAACAGCGCAGCAGGAAGTAAACTGAGTGGAGGAAGAGCGCAACTCTGATGATTGATCAGAACTGGAACGGGTCGTGGACTCCACATCGTCTTCGTCCGCGCGGTAGGGGGAGATCGAGATCGCGCCGCGCTGAATTTCAGCGAGAGGTATTGTGAACTGGACCTCATTTTCGTCCGCGCGCAGGAGGTGGAGGAGGAGAAGGCGTACGACGAGAAGGCCTCTTGATAGCCCTCCAGGGGCCTCCTGGGAGCCTCTTGGGGGCCTCTTGGGGGTATCTTTGGGGCCTCGTGGGGCCTCTTGGGCCGTACTAGTTTTGCCCTTGGCCCGTCTAACGCGTTCGGAGGCCGTCTTGGGGGCCTTTTGGGGCGCTTTCGGGCCGTCTTGGGGCCCTCTTGGGTGGCTGTTGGGCGATCTTAGGGTCCTCTTTGGCCGTCTCGAGGGCCTCTTGGGGTGCCTCATGTGTTGTTTTGGCTCTATCTTGGAGGCCTCTGGGGCAGTCTTGGGCGGTCGGGGACCCAAACATGTGAGAACCTCAACATCAGTCAAACACCTCTGGAACATCCATGTTTTTCGCCTCGGAGGCCTCTCGGGGCCTCTTGGGGCCTCTTGGGGCCTGGTGTGCCGTCTTAGGGGGCTCTTGGCCCGGCGCCTTCAGAGGACGTCGTGGGGGCTTCTCTGGGCCGTCTTGGTGATTTCCTTCTTGGAGCGCTTTGGGGCCGTCTTGGGGCCCTCTTGGGAGGCTGTTGGGCGATCTTGGGGGCCTTCTGGGCCGACTGGGTTCCCTGGGAGCCTCATGGGCTGTCTTGGAGCTATCTTGAAGGCCTCTTTGGTGGTCGGAAACCCCAACAGGTGAGAACCTCAAACTCATGCAAACACCTCAGGAACATCAATGTTTCTCGCCTCCTCGGAAGCTTCTTGGGGCTCCTTTGGGGCCTACATTCCGTGGGCCCAAACATGGGTGAGGAGCAGAAGCAGGCCCCAGAGTTTCGCAGGCGGAGGAGCTCAACGCGAGGAGGTGAAGCATGGAGAGGCGGTGGAGGAGGGCATCGACGTGGAGGAGGATCAGGATAACTTATTCGGACTGATGCAAGCATTGACCGTCCAGCTCGAAGCGAGAGTGCGCCTCCTAGAGCACGATTCTGTGGCGACACCACTCGTGGATCGCAAACACCAGCTGGTGACGGATTGCAGCAAGTCCTACCAAAATTCTGTGAAATAACGGACTTCGGCTCGCCAGGATGCCAAGTTACCTAATTTTGTCTATTCGTTTTGGAACAGCTCCCCTGCAGAGACGCCAAGCAGGCTCTCCAAACTGAATAACGGGATCGAGATGCTCGTGGACGTCTTCAAAGCATCATGGAACACGTAGCGTTGTGGATAGAGGGAACAGCGGTGTTCCCCACGCGCGACAAGCCAGGTCAGCCCGAGAAGAGCAGGTTCATATTCGAGTTTCTCGGTCAGGGACTGGCTCCAGACGAACCCCAGGTCCACAAAGAAACGCCAGAGGCGACCGAGAAGGAGGGCCACCCCCTCAGCGATAAAAGAGTCCCCTGAAGATCCCCACGACAGTCCTCGACGTGAAAGGCAAGATCTTTGACGTCGGAGCTCTGATCGCGGAGATGGTCAGACACAGTGGGGGGGAAGGTTGCGATGGGCAGAGTGCCCTGGGGGACCCTCGCCAGGCATCTCATGCCCGAGAGGTCGCGAGAATTGAGTGGATTGAGCGAGTGAGCGGGGAGATGTGGCCCTCGAGACAGTGAGCGGACGGGGCCGCGCCGAGGCCCTGCATTCGACCAGCTGCGTCTTGTTTGCGCCCCCCCTTGCATGTTTTTTTGTTTCTGCTGTTTTTTTGGGGTGTTGCTTGTTTTATTCAGTTTTCCAGGTCTGGCGTTTGTCCACTCTGCCCTCGGAGGAGGCCCCCCAGCGGGGCGACGGCGAGGCTCCCGTGCAGCAGACATCTTGGCTGCACGATCAGCAGCCGCTCTTCTTCGAGTGCACGGTGCCCAATGAGGTCTGAGAAGCAGGGGCCTTGCAAGCCATGCATCGTTTACCCCCCAGGGTCACGAAACCGCTTTCTAAAACAGTGAATTCTGGACCGCGAAGTCGAGAGCTGCTCCTCCACCCCCTCCTCCTCCTTTTCCTCCTGCTTCTCCTCCTCCTCCTCCTCCTCCTCCTCCTTCTCCTCCCACTCCTCCTCCTTCTCCTCCTCCTCCTCCTCCTCCTCCTCATCCTCTTCTGGGGCGAGGACGTGGGAGGTTTGCCGGGACAGGGCGGAAGTATCCAAGATGCGCAAGCTGGTACGGAGACCAGGGCCGCAGGTCTGTTCACTGGCGTATTCGGGCCCACGGCTGGCGAGCAGGACAAATACGTTCCAAAACAATTCGCTCAACATGGTCCCGTGGCGTCTGGGCCACCGAAGGATGAAAGGGTGGGCGTCCATGACGCACCCGCCATGCTGGAGCCCGTTTCGAAGCCATACCGATCGACTTGAAGGGCGTGTCCACTCCGAGTGCCACTCCTGAGTCGGCGGTCTTGCCGATCAGGCCTGCCGCACGGCCGCCTGCCTGTGCTCCCGTCGGTGCTCGGGTCACTGGGCAGGGGTCGGGCGGCACTGCTGCTGGAAGCACCTGGCCCCTGCTTGGAGTGAGGGTTGACATGAGCTCCGAGGGTCATCGTGTGGAGGTCGACGAGGTCCACGACAGTTTGTGCAGTCTCACTGGTCGAGGCGATGCCAGTGCTTAAAGTCAAAGGCAAGGTGACAAACCGCACCCATCTAGCACAGCCCATGGCGAAGCTAGCTGGGTGATGGCCGTGAGCCGAACCCATGGTGAAGCTCACGGCGCCACTCAGGCGGTGGGAAGTAACCCAGTTGTTCGGAACATAATTGAGGGCTGCTTTCAATCTGAGGCTGCGCGCCGCGAGCTGGCCTCAGGAGCTACCGCTGCTGGTTCGTTGACTGGGGCTTCTGGGTCCACCCGCGGAGCCACTGACAGCCTGCGGCAAAACAACGAAACGAAGTCGGTCCAGACAGCCCATGGAGTGTCTAACCGCAAAGACGGCGCGTGCCAGGCACTCCGCGAAGACATGAGTGTCCAAGTCAGCGGTAATCTGAAGACAGAAGTGCCTGGTAAGCGACGCCGTGGCCGCCCTCGTCTCCACCAAATCCCTGTCGGCGTGTGCGGTACCGTGCACGCGGTCGACTACATGGTAGGGACGTGCAGCCACGAGGAGGTCTTCGGGGCGCTCGTTGCCTGGGACCTCCCGCTGGAGGGAGGTGTCGACATGGCCCTCCATCCGCTCGACGAGTGGCAACATGTCACACGTGTCTGATGTGTCGTTGTTTCCCTCATGCCCGTTACTTGGGTGAGTGACTTGTCTGGGTTGTGGGTCGCGCGAGGGAGGACGTCTACGCCCTCCCCGTCACTGGTTTCGCCTGCGGCTCCGTGTTGCTCTCCTACTTCATGCTGGACGGGATCTTCCTTGACTCGTCCTTCCTCCACACTTTCTTCCACCTTGCCCTCTCCGCCATCGTGGCGTGAGGGCGGCTCGGCGTAGTCCATCGGGGCGCGCGCCAGCGCGGCCGGCGGGGGACGCGCGAGAGGCGCTGCGCTCCTCCGGGGCAAGGGTGGACAAGCTTGCGGTGCCACAGTTCGCTTTCAGACAGCACGACCAGGCGCGCCTAGTGATCTGCATCCTGAACTTGATCGGGGAACCCATCGAGTGGGATCTTCCTTCTATTCGTGTTGGACGGGGGCCTGCTTGGATCTTTTGAATTCACGAAACATTCAACTCTGCCGGCTGGGATAGACGCCGAAGGCGTGCCGAGGATGCGATCGGCAGCCGGGGTCCGCGAGATTCGCAGAGTCAGGTCTGTTTTCGCGCTCTCCGAAGACATTACTTCTCGACAGATGGGCCGATCTCGCTTCCTTCTCCAGGGCGAGCCGGTGGCGCCGTCGTGGTTCGACGTGGCGCTCGATCTCCCCGCGGCCAAATGCTGCGCGTTGGCGGAGCACAAAGGCTGGGGTCACCATTTTGACCTGGATGGGGGACGCCGGACTGGCGTGCTCCCTTTCGCAGACAGTTCCTGTTTTTTGAGCTGCTGGCGCGGCGCAACTTTCAAATCTGATTTTAGCATGGTTGTGTATTCTCCAAGAAGCCGTGTAACCAGTGCCGCTGGGCGAGACACGTGGTGCACAGGTGCACAACAGCAAGTGTTGCGGCACCGTGGGAGGTCACGACCAGGGGCTTCAGATTGACCAGAAAAATCCGAAGCAAAGGTTTCCAGGAATTCGGTACAGGCTGACCTTCGACAACAACGCTGAGGCCGAACTACAGTGCAGGGTGGCCAGACAATGTCGGGCATTCTACCAACAGCAACATCTTATGTGTCGCATTTTTGCTGCGCTTGGAATCTACAGCGCAGCAGCGGTGCACCATGCAAAGTGTGCAGTAGGCCATGTGAGGAGAAAGATGCGGATTACCCATTGGCCTTCCGAGTGGGAAGAATTTATGTTTCGGCTGGGCCGCAAAATCAAAACGGTGAGGAAAGCGCGCGATTTCTGCAATCGGGACAATCTTTACTTACAGCGTTTGTTCTCGTGGGCAAGGCATGTCGCACAGCTCCAAGACTACGACCCAGACCGGGCCCCGTTTCCGTGTCTTGCAGCATGGGGTCGTAGCGTCGGCAACCAGATGCATGGCCAGAAATTTCGGGGCCAGCCGGCTTTGAGCAAGGCGTCTTGGCGCGCAGTGACGTTTTCCAACTTTGGAAGCGATGGACTAGCTTGATCTGTGAGTAGCCGGTCGGCGCTGCCTCTGGGCAGGAAGTAGTTTGAATCCTTTCCTCCTCCTCCTCCTCCTTCTCCTCACTCCTCCTCTCTGCCCTGCGCCTTCCCTCCGCCCTCCCCGGCCCTTCCCTCGCCGCCCGCCCCGCTCGGAAGCGCGCCGCTGCCGCCGCCGTCGCCACGGCGGTCGCCGACGACGGCGTCACAGCGAAGGCGAGGCTGGGCGGCCCTGGCGCGCGCGGCGCAGGACCTTCTGGCGGCGTACGACCTCATGTCCGGCGAGGAGCCCTGGCGCGCGCTCGCGGAAACGGCCGACTGCCAGCTGCCAGCGCACCCGGGCCGTCGGCAGTCGGCCAGGTCATGGTGGTGGTCGTCGTCGTCGTCGTCGTCGTCGTCGTCGTCGTTCGAGGTTCGAATCTTGTTTCGGTATCCTGTGGCGATGAGGGGCGTCACCCGCGGCGGAGGAGGGCGGTGACGTCACGAATTGTTGCAATGCGGTCCAGAAATTTTCTTCCTAGCCATTCCGAGACAGCGCCGACGCGAACCGTGTCGTGGCCGTCGTCGTCGTCGTCGTCGTCGTCGCCGTCGTCGTCGTCGTCGTCGTGGGGGAAGATCGACGTTCGAGGATCGAGGATCGTGGCTTGAAGTTCGACGTTTTCGGATCGAGGATCGATGAAGCTCGATGTTCGAGGATCGACATTCGTGAATCGAATATCGAGAATCGATTATCGCCGGGGAAAATCAACATTCGAAGTTCGAGGATTGAGGTTCAAGTTTTTGACTCTTGGCTTCGCGGGGCGGCTCCGTCTTCATCTTGTTTGCATTGTTGTTCTTGTTTGCGCTCGTCCTTCTTGTTTGCGCTCGTTTTCCTCTCGGTCTTCTCTCCTCCTTCCCCTCCGCGTCTTCCCTACTCCTGATGCCGCTGCGGGCTCCGAGGAGAAGGCGTATTTTCAGAACGTCAAGCAGGAGGCCACAGAGAGGCGTTCGGGATTCTTTCAGAGTTCTTTGGCCGCTTGGGAAGGAGGAGGAAGAGGAGGAGGAGGAGGAGGAGGAGGAGGAGGAGGAGGAGGAGGAGGAGGATGAAGAGGAGGAGGAGGAGGAGGAAAGGGATGAGGAGGATGAGGAGGAGGAGCAGGAGGACGAATAGGAGGAGCAAGAGGAGGAGGACGAGGAGCAGGAGGACGTGGAAGAGGAGGAATAGGAGGGGGGCAGGAGGAAAAGGAAGAGGAGGAGGAGGAGGAGGAGGAGGAAGAGGAGGAGGAGGAGGAGGAGGAGGAGGAGGAGGAGGAGGAGGAACAGGGCTGCGATTATCAGCTAGAGTGCATTCTGGTGCTGCCTGGCCAGGCATACCCGAGGCGAGAAGCAGCGCAGCAAGACTCGATCAGGCACCCATAATACGCTCGCGTGCTCGTCTTCCTCGTCGTCGCCGTCGTCATCCCCTCCTCCCCCCTTCCCGTAGCCACTTTGGTTCTAGATGATTGTGTCTTTCGGGCAGACAGCGGACACCTCCGATCTGAGGCTTGACCACGTTGATTTCTCCCCCCCTCGCGATGGTGCACCATTCACCCGTCGGGGAGGCTTTCGGGCGCGCTGTCATGGCGTGGTGCAAGCATGCGCCGTGGCACAATGATGGCAAGAGTTTCGAACATGAGTCCCAGATTAAAGCGTACAGCGTGGGCCGGGCTGTACTGGTTGGGAATACAAATCGTTCGGCAAGTTCTGCTGATCGAAGTGCGGGGGCGAGTACATTGATGCAAGTGGGCAGCGCGGACATGGTTCTGGCCGTCGCAGTAGTGCTCGTCTTGCTGCTCATGCAAGTGGTCGGTGATGATGCTCTTCACGCTGCCGCTGCTTTGCTGCTGCCGCGGGGCGCGACTTTTGATGTCATCTTGCTCTGTTCATGGATGACGCTCTTCCGCCCGAGGAACCATAATGGACCGCGTTCAGGCTGCAGGACGCAGCACGTGCCGAGCGCACCCGCTTCATTCGTGTCGTCGAAGATGCAGCGAAAGTGGCGCGCTTGGCCTCTCAAGAAACACATCATCGGACATCAAAAAGGTACAGAAGATCGAGGAACAGTTGGTGAAGGGCAACGAGCGCTTGGTTGCGGACGCCGCCGCCCACGAGAAGGCTTCCCGTGACAAGGCCCAATCTGACATGGACCTCCAGCGGTTCAGCGAGGATGCCTGGATCGAGCGGGAGCGCATCGAGCAGCGTGAAGTTTGTGTTGCTGTTGAGGCCGCTGGCCATGCACATTCTGGGCAAACTAATGGAGTACATGCTGGGGCTGGTATTGGTGCTCACAGGCCACCATTTTTGCCTTAGGTTCTGGCTTTCTTCCAAATCTTCCTTGGCCACCCACGTCTACCCCCGATTCGTGAAAGTGTGCTTTCCTCAGATGGACAGTGGCGAGCCCCGGGGCATCTGACTGATGCTGGGGGTTTGGCGATCTTGCCGAATGGCGGACTCTACGTGATGCAACCCATGAGAGGCCAACACCCCCAACATGCAGGCTCTTGTCAGATGTGGGGTAAAGTCGATCCAGCTCACTCGACTGGCCAGGGGCTACATTTGCACTCCGCGAGTCCGTAGCTCTCGGCCTCGGTGTCCATGACATCGATCCCAAGGTGCGGAATAGGGGTTTGGTGTCCCGAGCCCCAATCACGTGAGCATGATTGTCGACTGGTAAGGGCAATGGCCGATCCAGATGAACAGACAGGCGGAGGGCTACATTGGAACTCCTGGAGTCCGTATCTTTCTGCTTTTGCGCCTCGCAAGCCGATCCCTCGTGTCGGAAACAAGTTTTCGGGGCACTATTGGGGAGATTCTGTTCAATGCAACTGCCCACTTCGTTCGCCATTAGTCGCTCTCCGCCCATGCGCGGGGGCGCCGCAAATGCCGCCGAAGACGATGAGGCCCCTGTCCGGGGAGGGGGTTCGAAAATTCCGCTCCCCAGTGGGGGGGGGGTGTTGTTAGCCCCTGTCCCAGCCGCGTTGCCGATCGTCGGCCTGTCGATGAGAGCGCGCCATGCGGGGGGTCTGGTGCTCCCGTCGAATCGCGGACTGTGCGCGATGCAACTCATGAGGCCCCCCCCCAACAAAAAAATGCAATGCTTGGATTCCTGGGGGCTCGACTTAGCCCTCGCTGACGGCATTGTCAGGCCCTCCATGCCCCCGACGACGCTGCGACGGCGACTTGTGGTCGATCCATTCGAATCGACAAACTGATGGCTAACTGTAAATTTGAAGTCCGTAGCCCTAGGCCTTTGTGCATGCGACGTGGCAGTCGCCGCCCCGGCGGCGACGACTTCTTCGCATTGGTCCCGCCGCAGCCCAATGGGGCAGGCCAGTTCCAGGCCCCCCTCTTTTTCCTGCTCATGTCGGCCAAGGTTAAGTCGGGCCTGTCCCTTTGCTGGGGGCAGATCTAAAAATCGTCAAACCAAATCAGGGCGCGTTCTTTTTTGTTGGTTGTTGTTGCTGTTTTTTTCTTATTCTTCTGCTTCCTCTTGTATGGGGGGGGGGGGGGGGGCGTATTTTTGTTGTTTCGCCCGTGATCCGCCTGTGGGAGAACGCGCCCGACCTGCTCGCTTAGCGCAGTGTGCCTCGGCCTTCCCTGGTGCATTCCTAGCCCTCCCTGGCCTCGCACCTTTCCACCCCCGATTCGTGAAAGTGCGCCTTCCTCGGAGGCCGAGTGGCGACCCCCGGGGCATCTGACTGATGCTGGGGGTTTGGTGATCCCGTCGAATCGCGGACTGTGCGCGACGCAGCCCATGAGGGGCCAGCGCCCCCCAACAAGTACAGTGCCAGGGTTCCTGGGATCTCGACGTTGCCCCCGCCGACGGCGTTGGCAGGCCCTCCGAGCTCCTGCCGCCCCCGACGGCGACCTTGCG